GGTTTTCTGCCTTAGGATTTTACATAAAAAAAAAAAAAAAAAGCCGTATTGCAGGCCACAAGGCGGTCAGACTCCCAGAGCTCAGGCTGAGAGGAAGCGGAGAGATTAAGCCGCGACGCTGATTTGGGATTATCCCTCCAAGTCTCGCCAGAAAGCAGCCGCTACGGGACTCCTCTACCGGATACCGTGGCGTCCAGTAGCCCAAGTGCCTCCCGCTTTGTCCTCCCTATCCCACGAGGCTGGAACTGCCCCCTGAGGTTTGGGGGTGTTCTGACACATATCCACTCACAGCGGAGCGGGAAGATGGGTCAGTACCTACCACCCCATGGAGCTGATCCTGCATCAGAATGGAGTTCTCAGAGGATGCCTCAGACATCGGACGCAGCTGGGCCTTGTCTGATGACGTCACGGGTTGTACGTGCTCTTGTGGAAGGGCGCATTGTACCTGTTCTTTGGCCAGATTTACAAGTGGGTTTCAGCGAAATTCTTGACATCTCTACATTAGGATTTCTAAGGCGTCTGTGGTCATGCTCGGGCCAATATGAGGAGAACCAACATTGGGTTTCAGCAGTTGAAACCGATTACACAATCCGGTGACATTTCTGGGTCTGTCTTATAAGGTGGTCCCACATGTCTGTCTGGCCCCCAGATAGAGCATCATGTGGTACCCGTGACACCCCTTTAGTTTTCCTTTGCTCCTGTTTCAAACTGGAGGGAAAAGGGGATGGTTTCAGGCCATTATGGCACCATGGTCATCGTGGTTTCTGGCTGCCTGATGTTTATCTGTCTTTCTTTGGGTCGGAGCCCAATTTCTGGAATTCCTACTCTGTCCTGCCTACACCTTGGAGGGACCACCTACCAAGGGGACTTGTCCTGGCCAGCAGGCATCTGGGGACCCAGGTGAGGCTAAATAGCCACTTCCTGTTGTACAGAATGTTGGCGCTCACCCATTCATTCATTCCTGTGGGCTCATTCATTCATTCCTGGGGCAACCCCACAGAAAAGGCTGATGGAAAGATGCTTGAACCCAGGGCTGCCTGGGTTCAAATCCTGACTCAGCCACTTACTAGGTGTGTGTGATGGACTCTATTTCTGTTCACAAATACTTTGGTGATATATCCCTTCCCCACTGAACTTCATCCTGACTGTATGACTTGCCTGGCTACTCCTCAGAGAGGTCAAGCCTCCTACCTGAGGTCACACAGTCTGTAGGTGGTACAGCTGGAATTTGAACCTTTCACCTTCCCTGTGCCATCAGGAGAAAACTGAGGCACCGAGGGGTGAAGGAACAGGTCCAGACCACCTGGCTGGCCACATCCGACCTGACACAACCTAAGTACAGAGCTGCCTCCAGTCCCATGATGAGTCATGTCCTCACAGCGGACCTTTTTTGGTTCTTGTTTTTAACCTCTCTTCTGTGACTCACTAAGACACGGGGACAGGAAGCAGCAGGAAGCTGAGAACCAGGACAACTCATCCTGGGGGTGGGGGCAGCAGGAGGCCCCCACCCCAGACCAGGGCAGCATCCAGGGGCTGGCCTCCCTTCTCAGCCTCAGATAGCCTCCTGGAAAGTAAATGGCCATCAGGAGGGTGGGCAGAGTTGAGAAACAGAAGCCTCCCCCAGGGATCAATCAGCTAGGAGCAGCAACCCCGGGGAGGGCACAGAAACGCCACGCTGCTTACAGTTACTGGCTTGTTTCCTTGTAGATCTCCTCTGCCCCACCCCCAACCTCATGCAGGTCCCCTGAGCTCGAGGCACCCCAGGTCTAGGGCAGTGCTTAGTCACAGCAGGCATGGTGCTTAAAGAAGGTCACACATACTGCCACTCCTTCTACTGAAAAGAGGAACCAGTGCCCCCTCCCCTTGAATTTGGGGGGCTGATGACCACTTTCCCCCGTAAAGTCCAGCAGAAATGCTGCCCTGTTAACAACAGAGGCTTGGTCAGAAAATGCCATGCAGCCTCCTCTGGTCCTCTGGGATGCCCACTCTGAGAGAAGAAATCCACAGCCCTGACACTACCGTGTGGGACAAACCTTGCTGGGTGCTCCAATCCACAGCCCATCTGAGCTCCCAGACCAGCACTGACATCAGCTGCCGGCCACGTGAGCTTGGATGTCCAGCAGAGTCGATCTGACCGCAACTAGAGGAGAGATCCTGCTAGCAAGATCACCAGTGGGGCCCCTCCTAAATTCCTGTTCCACAAGATCAAGGGCAAGTTAACATGCTTGTTTTACACCATCCAGTTTGAAACAGTGGCTGAATGAACAATGTGTCAAATAATTTAGAATATATGCGAGCAAGCAGACTCAAGGACCCAGAGCTCCACCCCACCCCCAAGTCCGGGCCTTGGGCAGAGACAGGAGCAGGTGGAGGCAGCTCCAGGCAACATTACTGGACACCTGCTAGATGCTAGTTACAGGGGATAAAGAGATAAAGGCAAGGTCTCTCTGCCCTTGAAGACCTCGAGATCCCGTCAGGCGCCCTCTGAAATCCCAGCCAAGGCCTGAGCTGCAGCTTTCGATTAAAACCAAGCTCTTTGACAGATAAACCTGGCTCCACCCTCTTTGCTCTTCCCCTCGGCAAACATTCTGCAAAGCCTTTATGCCTGGTTCCCTTGTCCTGCTTCACTCCTCTCTTCTGGTGTGGATGTCACCTTCTCAGGGAAGCCCTCCTTGATGCCCCTAACCAGGCCCAATCCCTTTGTAATTTTCTCTCATAGAACCTGGCTTTTCTTCCCAGGGGGGCTTATCCGCATTTGTAATCATTCCAAATTCTCTGACAGGAGCTAAACCCACAGGCCAGGAAGCCAGAGACCTACGTCATCTCCCTCTGTTCTAGGTATAGGAAAAAACTGAGGCACGGAGAGCTAACAAGACCTCAGAGCGGGCCTCCTGGGATGAGGACTGAGCCCTACTGACACCCTCAAAATCCTTGCTGCTCCTTAAGGATTTCATGGTTGAGGAAACTGAGGCCCAGAGAGGTTGACTAACTTGACGAAAGCCACACAGCTATGAGCAGAGAAGCATGACTTGCTGTGAGCCCAGGGTGACCTCTGGCCTTACCCACATCTTGCAGGATTCCTTCCTGCTCTGATTTTGGTTTCTGCCCTCTCCCACACCCTCTCCGCACCACACTCAACTCCTCCAAATCCGTTTGTGTGTCTGAAACATCTCCGGCCTCGTTCTGAGCTCCCACCGGGGTTGGCGTGCTGGAAGTCCCGTTTCTAAGCTCCAGGACAGCCTTAGAAATGATGTCACAGCCCAAGTGAGGAGGACGCTCTCTCCCAGCTTTCCCTGAATAGACAGTCTGAAGGGTTCTGACCACACAAGAAACATGACAATCCTGCTGTTGTCAAACCTGGGGTCTCTCTCCTCCCCTCCCCTCCCAAGCTATAGCCCCAGGACCAAACAGAGATGCAGGTTCGAATCCCAGTTCTGCCAATTTCTAGCAGGGTGGCCTCAGTTTCCATAAAATGGGGATGCCAACAGCACTTATTTCTTCTGGTTGTTGCTAAAAATTAAATAAGCCACCGTATTTGAATATGCCTAGCCCCCAATAGCTCCACGAATGCCTATTACATCTGAATGAGACAACCACCGTCATTTTTCCAGTAAAGAGAGGAGTTTTGTGACACACATCAGCCAACCTCATTTTTTGAAAAACAAAAAACATTTATTTCTGTAAACCATTTGAGTGCTCATACCCTCCACAACCCCAACACAGCACAAACCTCCCCCAATGAAACGAGCAAGGAAAAGAGAAAAGAATGCCACCAAACGTGCTCTTGGAGAACCAAGCCAATCTCATATTTCTTTGAGGAAAATAAAAAAAGGAAAATCCTTTTGCCCGCGGGGGTGCAACCTCAGATGAAAATCACTTTCTGGTCCCAGGAGGGCGGGGCTCTGCTGCACACGTGGCTGAGGTGGCCTAGTAGGAGGCCTCTGTCCCTGACTGTCCCTGCCATCAGGCAGAGGACCTGTTCGACCTAGATTCCCATCCCGTGTCCCAAGCCTCTCTCCCAAATGTTCTCAACACTGGGGGAGCCCGGAAAATGAACCCTGAAAAGACTCCTCCTGTCAAATCTGGACTCAGACCTTGGCCCCACTCCGTGCCATAATGAGATTTCAATTGAAAGGGTAGGAATGGGTTGCTTCAGACCAGTGGCCAAGCCAGGCAACATTTAAGGCAAATTTTCTCTTCTCGTTCAGTCTGAGTCAGGCCTGCAGGTATCTCCACCAAGCACTGTCTCTGTTGGACGTGGAACTTAGGCAACTCGGAATGGGGCGGTGGAGCGATTCTCGGAGGGGTGAACCTGGCCAGCGGGACACGGTGTGCTTACAGAGGCCACTGTCGAGGGTGCAGCTCCTGGCACAGCTGCCCCCCACCGCAGGAAGCAGGCAGGCGCCAGAGAAAACCAAGATAGCGGCCCTAGCCCCGGTGCCAGAAGTGACACGAGGCTGGTGGGTAAGGCCAAGCAGGCTGCTTGTGCGTAAGACAAATGCCAGGGCACGGTCACCACGGGAGGCGCCTCCAACCTGATGAACTGCATGACCTTGGCATCAAAATGATTTTTCCTTAGAACAAGAAAGCGGGGTAAAAAGAAAAACAGATAAAAGAAAGATCTTCCATGAGCTTCATAGGTTAGGACACAGCAGGTGCACAAGGGAAGTGGGGAGGGGAGCTGGGTTTTGGCCAGGGTGGTGGGCGTTGCCTCTCATCACATCTCCTCTCCCTGATGGGCTGGTGGGCTGGTAGCTGAGGCTGTGGTCCCCTCCCCTGGGGAGCAGGCGGATGACTTTGGCAAGGGGGGTTACTCCGTCTGGGCGTCATAATTGGCTCCTCCCGCCTTCTTGAGCTCACTCTTGATGAAATCTTCCTCCAGCTCCTTCCGATCACTGATCACAAACTCTTTAGCGAAATTCTGCAAGAACAAAATAAAACACAGAGTTCCCGTTAAAGAGGAGGGGGCAGGATCTGAGCGTTGCTCAGGCAACACACCGGGAAGTCTTGGCACCTAAAATACTAAGAAACGATCAAAATAAAAATCTGGTGGCAGAATGGTTTGGCAGGAAAACAAAAAATATGACCAGAGATCCCTGAAAATGACTGAAGTTGATATACTGGTCCCATGAGGATAGGCCAAGGTCAGGTCTGGGTTCAGATTCTGGCTCTGCTGTTTTCTGGCTGAGTGACCTTGGGCAACTTGCTTCAAATCTCTGTGCCTTAGTTTCCTCATCTGTGAAAACTCATCTTGTCAGTAGAATAAAAGAAGATGAAGTTGAAAAGGCAGGCTGGTGTGCTGATAAATGTTTAATACCTGGCTCTCCAAAAGAAAAGGGGTTGGGGGAGCCCTAATTTGTAGCTTTTGCCCATTTCCATGGTGTAAATAGTCCCACAGTGGTTGATTACAAGCTACCAATAGGATGTCACTGTATACAAGTGAACAAGTTTCATGACTGGCTGTCATCTGCTGGTGCTAGGTTCAGGCACCCCCAAGACCCTAGTCGCAGAGATGCAGGGCTTCCGGTCCCAGGTCGGAGTGATCAGCCCGGGCACTGAACACACTGAAATAAGTTCTGGGTGCTTCAGCCATACTCAGTTAGTAGAAGGCAGGAGATTTGTTTGCATTCATTCAACAATCACCATGCTGTGTGATGGAGCTATAGAGATTAGCAAAATGGATACAGTCACTGTGCCCTCTCAGGTGCACATGCTTCAACCATAAAACCCCACCAGCCTGGCACACATGTGGCTCTCATAAATGCTTGTGGCGTGAATGAGTGAAGCAAGTGATCTGACTTATCAAATAACCCTAAGCCATGAAGAATCAAGAGTTACTTTAATACATGCATCACAAGACTTCCATAAACAAGGAAAATTTCAGGACAAGGACAGATAAGAATACAGAAAAAATTGTCAAAATATGAATAACAAGTTAGAAGTTCAGAAAATCATCCACATTAAAAAAAAAAGACCACAAGGAAACAAGGTAAATATTTATCACCACTTATTAAGCACTTATGTGTACCAGACACTGCCACACATTAGCAGACTTAATTCTTCCAACCTTTTAGTATGACCCAGCAATTCTACTCCTAGAGATCTACTCAAGAGAAATGAAAGCATACGTCCACACAAACACTTGTAAACACATGTAGTCCTAACAGCCAAAAAGTGTAAACATTCCAAATGCCCAACAACACATGAATGGGTAAACAAACATTGTCTATCCATACAATGGAATATTATTCTGCCCTAAAGAGGAAATGAGGTACTGACACAGGCTACAGCCGGGATAAACCTCAAAACCATTATACTAAGTGAAACAAGCCAGACATGAAAGACCACATATTGCATAATTACATTTATATGGAAATGTCCAGAAAAGGCAAATCCAGAGGGACAGAAAGTAGATTTGTGGTTTCTAGGAGCTGGAGATGGGAACAGAAAATGACGGACATGCTCTAAAATTGGATTGTGGTGATAGCACACCACAAGTTGTGGATTTACAACTGTGTAAATTTACTAAAAATCACTGAATTGTACGCTTAGGATGAGTTAATTTTGTGGTATGTAAATTATACTTCAATAAAGCTGCTGTGTTTTTTTTAAAATCCTGCAAAATGATCAATATTATTTCTATTGTAAATAGAAAATAAATGCTGAAGATTATGACACTTGCCCAAGGGTATACAGCTAGTAGGTCCAGCTGACTCTAAAGCTGGCCTTCTCTTTTTTTTTCTTTTTGGGGTAATTAGGTTTATTATTTTTTTTTTTTAGTGGAGGTACTGGGGATTGAACCCAGGATCTCACGCATGCTAAGCATATACTCTACCACTGAGCTCTACCTTCCCCCAATAAAGCAAGCCTTCTTAAAAGCATCATCATCTCCTTTAGGGGTGATGAAAATATTCTGAAACTAGATAGGGGTGGCTGGCTGCATAACATCGTGAATGTACTAAATGCCACTGAATTGTATATTTTTAAATAGTGGTTAATTTTATGTTATGTGAATTTGACGTCAATTTAAGGGAAAAAAAAAAAGAATGACTAAACCAAGAGAGCTCTCGAGGTCAAGTTTCACAGCATTAAGACAAAACCTCTACCATGCCAAGCCATCAAGAAAACTAACAAGGAGGAAATGGGGGGTTAATATTTATCAAGCAATTAATATGTGCCAGGTACAGCCTCACACATTTTCTTACTTGATCCTCCCTTAGTCTATCAGCTTTTTTTTTTTCAAAGATAAGACCCATGGGCTGTGCTTGGAGAGATTGTGTAAGTAGCCCAGATGACTAAGCATCCTTCCAATCCTTTCTACTCCCAGTCTGCCATGCTGTGCTGCTGAGTGTCTCTGTACATCATCAGCATACAAGTGAACACAAGCAGGATGGCACAGCCAGAAAGGGGAACCCAGAAGTAATGTGCTTCTCAACCTGAGCCCCAGCTGCAGAGGGAGGAGTGAAGAGTATAGACCAGGAGGAAGAGGAGGCCCACAGCTCAAGATGCCCATAGAAGGAAGTCCAAAGTTCCTCTGCCCCATGATAGCTATATAAGGCAATCTAGAGAAACAAGTGGTGTTTGTGTCTGTTAGCCATTAGACAATTTGGATTAAGAAGTTTGAGAAATCCATAATCGAAGTGCACTTGGAGCTGTGCACAGTCCACCTGAAAACCACAAGGCTGAGAAATTCAATTATAGCCAAAAGGAGCAAATCAAGATAGCAGAACCCAGTAAGATGTAACATAACAATAAATGTAAATGAACAATATTACCTAAAAAAACAAAAACAAAAACCTATGTCTGAAAGTACAAAACAAAAAAAAGCCCCAAGTCCTATACATCTGAGACATGTTTAAAACCAAAAGATTTGCCAAAAAAATGATTCTATGAAACATAAGTATAGAGAAAAGAAACCTCACCCACCCCCACTATGTGAACCCGCCACAGCCCTGCAGAGGGCAGGCAGGAGGTGGCTGGCCATGGGCCTCCCCGACCACAGGATGCGGGGCTGGGGAGGAGCAGAGGCTTCAAAGGTGAGCTGTCACTTCCCTGCAGGGTGTGGACTCTGCAAAAAGTCCCCAAAAGGTCTGAGTCAAACTAAACACAACTCAAAATGACATGTACACTTCTTCACCTCTGTTCCATCCAGGGTCCTCACATAGTAGGCCTTCCACATGACAAAGGAGGAACCAACACCTCTGGGGAGTGGACTTAAATGTGAGCATTCAAAAATAGGCAGAAGCAGAGCAAAAATGGCTCTGTGGACAGTCAAGACCTTGACCTGGGAACAACACCCGGGACCTGAGGGGTCTGCAAGGATTCACCTGTGCAGAAAACCACAAAGAATGCATCTGCACACAGCGGGTTACCTCCCCACCACACTCTCACCTCCACACTCTCAGTCACTGTCCCTGGCCCCCTTCACGCACCACCCAGCACCTCCTGGAGCAGAGGCAGGCAACACGGAAGGCTATGAGATGCAAGATGCCGAATTCCAGCAAGAAAGGAGATTGTCAGGGCCCAGAACAACACTAACACATAGGGAAATTAAAATTTTCTCAGTAGCCACATTGAAAAAAGCAAAAAAGACCTATAATGAAAAATACGAAAACATTTAATGTATGTATATGTATGACTGAAACATTATGCTGTACACCAGAAATTGACACATAGTAACTGACTATATTTCAATTAAAAAAAAGAAAAAAGAAAAAAGAAGCAGATGACATTCACTGTAATAGTATTTCATTGAACTTTACACCCCAAATATTGTCATTTTAACATGTAATCAATATACAAAACCATTAGTAAAATCTCTACATTGTGTTCTCCGCACTGAGTCTCAGAAAGCTGGTGTGTATTTTATTCTCGGGCACAGCACACGGCAGGGTTGACAAGGCAGACCTCCTCTACTCTGCAGCCACACATTGCCAGTGGCAGCCCAGGTCTAGACAGAGCAGGAAAGAGTCTGAAAGAATATCACGCTTGGTCATGGAGAATCATTAATCCCAAAACATTAGAGCTGATCTGAGTCGGGGAGGGGCAGTCTTCAGTAGGGGAGGTGGGGCTGGAAATGTTCCATGTTTTGATCTGGGCAATAGATTCATAGATATGTTCAAAAATTCAAAATTTTACAATCCAAAAATTTTATCAAGCTCTGCACCTAAGATGTGCATTTTCCTCTGCATAAATTATACCTTGGCTAAGAAAAAAGGTTGGGATGTGGGGAATTGAGCTGAAAGAGCCTTTGAAACCCCAACATTCACCCCCTACCCTCTCATTTGATAAAGAAGCAGCAAGAGACCCAGAGAGGGGAGGCAATCCCTCCCAGGACACACAGCAGCTTCAAGGCGGGGCCTTGGGGGCAGGTCCTCTCTCCTCCGCATCCTCTGCATCCCACCCAGTGGGCTGCTCCAGGCTGCCTGTGCCTCCCACACCAGCATCCGTCATACCCTTAAGGCTGCCAAAGCCACATGCCAAAGACTTCAAAGCAAAATGTGCCGGACTGCGGGCACTGTCACCTTTAGTTCTAGAAAGATCTTCTCTGTCATGCCTAGGAACTCAGTGTCCCTGGCTGATTGCCTCCAGACCCTGTCTCTCCCTTTTTCGCCAGGGCAGGACTTTTCAAAGAGTCACCATCCAGCTAAATAGGACTCCAAGATGGTCTGGAAACACATACCAATCAAGTTCAGGACAAATTCTGTCCCTGTGACTTTTCTCAAGTGCATTTCAGCTCATGCCTCAAAGACATAAAATGGACATCGGTCTGCTTCCAAGGAAGACGCCTCTAGAGGAGGACTGGGGTTAGGACCTGGGGCTCTCTATATAGTGAAGAATCTATTTGCAAGCTTGGTTTAAAAAGTGTGTAAGTATTTTCCTACCCTTGGTTTTAAATTATCTCATTTTTAGATGGCTCCC